TTTGATTAGGGTTACCACAATCAAGGTTTCAGTAATGCTTCCAAAAAGTCTTCTGGCAGACACGCTGGATACATTTACAAATCACATTTGTGGCGGAACTGATGTCAAGTGTAATTCCCTAGCTTGACTTGTGCCACATGTTCCCGTGTGTTTTTCAGGTGAACAATGGACTAGACTATGCATTATGCCACCGTTTGGGCCGGATACGCTCAGATTTCGACAGCACCTGCTATCATCACTATTTGATAATGATTCATAAACACCTGCTCATAAAATAATCCTTATCTGCGTTTGGAAGGGATTTTTTCGGGATGCGGAAAGTATTTTGTTGATTTTTCGTTATCCTTCTTAGCTGGAGTCTAAACATTAAACAAACAATAAACGTTAATCGTTGATATCGTACATGATATGGATGCCATAGTTGTGTTTAGTACCCTTGCAGTTTTCCGGTGACTGTTTCAGGGCTGGGAAGTTTTTAACACCCGGTTTTCAAGTATATATTTTTTAGCCCGGCAATATACTAAGTACTCGAAAATTAATGTACAATTTACATGAATAGACTACAACTTATAAAGGCAATATTTTTTATGGATGAAATATCTTTATTATGATGCGACGTTTCGGAAAAGATCCTGCTGCCTTTGTCAAACAAGACGTTTTTGTACACAGCGGATCCACGTGTTAAGGGGTGGACTGGTTTCGGTGTGTGTGTGTGTGTGTGTGTGTGTGTGTGTGTGTGTGTGTGTGTGTGTGTGTGTGTGTGTGTGTGTGTGTGTGTGTGTGTGTCTTCAGGATGAGAGGTGAGGTGATCTATAAATGAGTGTTATGCATTATTAATCTGATTCTGTTATGACGCTTTACATACAACGGATAAAATATCAAGTGATATCAAAATAGTCCTAGCTTATCTACAGGTACATTGCTGGAAGGGCCTCAGTGGTGGGCGTGCTTGAGTGCTTGAGTGAGTATGGTTTTACGCCGCTTTTAGCAATATTCCAGCAACACCAAGGCACGGGACAATAGAAATGGGCTTCACACATTGTACCCATGTGGGGAATTGGACCCGGGTCTTCGGCTTTACGAGCGAACGCTTTAACCACTAGGCTACCCCACCGCCCCTGGGCGTGGTTGAGGGAGAAGGGGTGTCGTGTGAGGGTAAAGGGGAAGTGTGAGGGTTTGAAGGGTCATAGGATGAGGACTGCGTTGTTGGAGTGAAGGGATGCTGCTGTCATAAACAGGTTACATTCGTCACGATAAATAACAGCGACAACACCCATTTAATATCTACGATAAATAACAGCGACATCTCCCTTTGCATATCCACGATAAATAACAGCGACATCACCCTTTGAATATCCACGATAAATAACAGCGACAACACCCTTTGAATATCCATGATAAATAACAGCGACAACACCCTTTGCATATCAACGATAAATAACAGCGACAACACCCTTTGCATATCCACGATAAATAACAGCGACATCTCCCTTTGCATACCCATGATAAATAACAGCGACAACATCCTTTGCATATCCATGATAAATAACGGCGACATCACCCTTTGCATATCCACGATAAATAACAGCGACAACACCCTTTGCATACCCATGATAAATAACAGCGATATCACCCTTTGCATATCCACGATAAATAACAGCGACATCTCCCTTTGCATACCCATGATAAATAACAGCGACATCACCCTTTGCATACCCACGATAAATAACAGCGACATCACCCTTTGAATATCCATGATAAATAACAGCGACAACACCCTTTGCATACCAACGATAAATAACAGCGACATCTCCCTTTGCATACCCACGATGAATAACAGCGACATCATACCCACGATTTAACAGCGACATCTCCCTTTGCATAACGATAAATAACAGCGACAACACCCCTTTGCATATCCATGATAAATAACAGCGACATCACCCTTTGCATATCCACGATAAATAACAGCGACATCTCCCTTTGCATACCCATGATAAATAACAGCGACATCACCCTTTGCATACCCACGATAAATAACAGCGACAACACCCTTTGAATATCCATGATAAATAACAGCGACAACACCCTTTGCATACCAACGATAAATAACAGTGACATCTCCCTTTGCATATCCACGATAAATAACAGCGACAACACCCTTTGCATATCCACGATAAATAACAGCGACATCACCCTTGCATATCCACGATAAATAACAGCGACATCCCCCTTTGCATATCCACGAGAAAAAATAGTAGAAAAAAGAGTAGTCTGCACGATACCGACAATATCATGGACACGTTATTATCAATCACAAGCAAACAGCGATGACACCAGGTGTCCGAAAAGGTGTTCTTATCCAGTCCTAAAGTACGATTTATTATGAAGCTCGAAAACATTTTTCATTTTTTTGGGGAAAGGCAAAACCATAAAAGACATTGGCACTGCCATTCAATTTACTTTTTGAGGAGCATTATCGGTATTGGAAAATATCCTCTTCACACACATTTTTCAGTGTTTATTGCTGACACTGAAAATTATATTTTGATGAACCCTTTTATTGACAATAAACAGTTACTGTTCTGTGCCCATCCACAAAGCACAGTTCAACACGCACGTATCGTCCCTTAAACTAATCTGAACTAGTTTCTGGCCATACGTTCTGGATCTAAAACAAACATTTACCAACAACGCTCTCGGTAACTTCTTCATGTTAGCGTGCGAACCAGTCATTCGTCACAATGTATAACAAGGCCTTCGGTCTATAAAATACTTCAAACGTATTATACGGATCTTTAAGAAACCCGCAATATCTGTTGGCTGAACTCAGCGCCAGAGATTCCCATAAACTGAAGTTCATCCTGTTAATGCTTTCTTGAAAGCCGAGCAGACAAACAATGAACACACCACTAGCGTTGTATCAGGGTAAGGTTTGTTCTGGTATGATTGATGATGATGTTCTGGTATGACTGAGGAGAGCGATCTGTTTACTGAACGCCCTTGCAGTTGAAAGGGGTCAAGCGCCCTGGCTGTGGAGGTTAAAGGCAATGTCGTCACAAGAGTCACTATTTGTTGGAGATAACAAAGAAAATATTACTGTGTCCATCGCACACAACATGGAGCAAAGAATGAGGTATATCTCTTTGTGTGGAACGTTTCACTGCCCGCACTTACGCTGTATTTCTACGCAGTGATGTGTCTTTACGACCTTGACCCCAACGAATGACTGTGAAATATTGGCTGTATTTGGGGTTAGACATTTGCAAACGACCCTTAAATCGAAACATTATCGATTGGAAGTGGGGGTTAGTACTTTAATAACTACGTGAGAGAGTTTAGCAGCATCAACAGTAGCAGCATCAACAATGGTAGTAGCAATACAGTTCTGGTAAGTGAGTGAGGAGTTTAATTTACGCCGAGTTTAGCAATATTCCTGCATTATCGCGGCGGGGGGACACCAGAAATGGGTTTCACATATTGCACCCATGTGAGGAATCGAACCCGGGTCTTTGGCGTGACGTGCTAACGCTTTCACCACAAGGCTACCCCACCGCCCCTTAATGAGTGTAGGGAAATGTATATTTAACTTAGTTTAAAGCAAGACAAATTGTTCTTTAAAACTTGTCCCAACTTTCCCTAATGGGACTTGGGGCATCTTAGCATGATCTTCATTATAGCCACGTGCGCACGCATCTTATTGTCTGTTATATAGTATTTAATTAGATTCTACGAAAGAAGTACGACTTCGTTCAATAATGTCATTAAAGTGACATGCATTTTTTTTGTAAAGTGGATTAACTTGCCAAAAAGTATAATGCCTCTGAATATGACAAAATTAAAGATACTAAAAAGACGAACAAGTCAAAATTAAATCTACAAAATACTCAGCTTCGATCCAGAGTGAAAACAAAACACAAAATATAGTACTATTGTATGGTAATCGAAATTATCATTACCATCATCATTATTATTATAAATGCACGTGGTACTCCTGTCGCATCTGATCTGCTGATCGATCGCGTGAAACGCACGAATAACTTAAGACCGTGTCAATGTTTAAAGTTGTAACATGTGCGGGACGTGTCACGTGACCGTCCAATAACGTTACCGTTACACCTAAATAGCACGGGCCCTTATCGAACATATGTAAACAAAGTATGGTACACACAGTACACAAGGCCCATTCACGTACCGCGTTGCAACGGTCATAAATCTTCGCGAGAGGGATAAACAATTGAAAGTCTTTACATATTTATTCTCCATTGCATATACTTATATTTCATTCATGCTGGTGAAAACGTCGATTTTTTCGCGAAATATACAGAACTGATACAGAAACTAATTTTCAACGGTTCATGAAATATGTTTTAGACGTTATCATAGGTAAACATCCTTAATTCAGTGAGGGTTAAAAACAAACAAGACACAAATTAAACAGTACCAGTCAAAACTAATTTCACGTAAAAATATGTGAATTTTTTTCGTGTTATGTTTATTAACGTACACTTACAAAATAACTTAATATTTATCAATATATATCAATAATTATCTACAATATTCGGAAAACTCTCCAAAAATTAATCTTCATGAACAGAATAAAATCTAACGATAGGCTATAGTATAATGTCAATAATACAGCAAAAATGCACAGATGTCCGCATGTCATGAAATACATCAACGAAAATTTATCAATATTTTTTAATCTAACTAGAATTTTTTTTCTGAAGTTACGCGCAAATGATTCGTAAATATTTTCACCCGAATTAGAAACGAGAAAACTGACAGCTTAAGGTGAGAAACGAAACATGGGAGGCTGAACATGCTTACTATATATAACCCTCGCCCGCATATGCACTCTCGCAAACACGCCGCACAGGAGAGGTGAGTGGGCTTCTAGAGTTCTCGCCTCAACAACAAACATAGACTGTACTTGAACAGCTTAAAAGGGCAGGGAAAGACAATAGGTGTCATAGAAGTATATCACCTTGTATACTCACCACATCTATGAGCTGGGACAATCTCATACCCAGCTTCACGTACAACTTGTCCGATTCATTCCCCACTGGCCTGATAAGCTTGTTATAACCGCTTGTTCTCAACAAGTCATCGAACAGTCTTTTAGCATTGTCATTTGCATCACAAACTGTCAGAAGTATAAGGGAAATATACCTTAACATATCCATGGTTGTAGCGGGTCCCATGTTATACTGTCAATCGCATACTGTAGCGTATAACACTCGCCAGTTGTTGCTCTGACCGTGGAGGCTCGCGCTCCCAGTCGATCACTCGCTAGGCAATACCAGTCGATATCTTGCTTTCCCTACGTTAGATGGCGCCACCTCCTGGCCAACAAACGCTTTCTGACGGAAATGAGCCGTCTTCGTTTTCATGTTGGATGCTTGAATTAAGAGTTCCTCGCCTCTAGATTAGTCTTTGTGGAGCGAATTAAAGCATGGGTGATATAAAGAAGCAGCGTCCGTGAATTCACTGGACATTTGCTGATTGATGGGGCACTGCCGCTGTTCATGACCCTTGACAAGGCAAACCGCAACGACAATTCCCAAAACTCAGTGTTGGGGGTTTTCGTTGACGAAATGAAATAGTTGCTAAACTTTGGGGACACGTAAATCGCTGGGGATTGTTTTTCACACAGAGAAGCACCCTAACCAACCGTATATTTGATTAAATTAATTTTGTTAGGTTGATAATTAAATGAATAGCTCCACATGGTTTCCACCGACAGCTGTAATTGTACCATGCGTACGCGTGTTTTGAGAATCCCAGAATCTTAAGTGGAAGAGGAACCTGTTGTGTATATGTTTTAAATTTATCAGGCACTTTTAAAGGCAATTTACATATTGTGACAAACATGATACTTGTTTTTCTCGTCAAATGACATGCCTGTCTCATAAATTGACACATTTACTTTTTGAATTCTTGTTTAATTTAAGAAGTCTCGAGATGAGATTAACGTGTTTTTGAACAAGTGTTCTGGTGTCAATTGGGCTATGTAAGTTGTGAAAACATCTGTCCATTTTTGTCCTCGTGAAAATAATACTTTTAAGTGGACTGAACGCTGTTCCGCAAAAAAGTGCTATTTCGCTGGGGTTAAAAAACACATTTCACTTCAGTCAAATTGTACTTGTTTAAGATATCGATTATATAATTTCAGATATATACAGGATTGCATCACTTAATACAAAAGTTCATTCATACGCAATGGCTATGTGTTCACATTTGGTTAACAAAACTCTTTAACTTTGTGATCCTTATGAAACATTAAGCATGTTTGTATCAATTTTATAGTTGAAATATCCTTTCCTAAAAAGCATGTACATTACATGCACATTCCTCATTTTGCATCAGCACATCAATATTCCAACCAAATAGTAACATCTAAAGAAGTCATAATAGCAGTAAATATATGCCACTGACATGACAACGTAAAAAATACTTCCTTTGGTATTTGAATAGCTTTTAATTTAAATGAAAACACGTACTATATGCTATAACCTTCAACATACTTTTCATTAAGAGCCCCAGAGAGCTATCTTTTTGAACTATAATTACCTCGGATCGGATCACAGACCAGATAAACCGTAAGATTTTCGGTATTACAGACTACAGCTTTTCATGTTATGTCAAAATCCTTCTTTTTGATCGGATCTTTGTTCCTGTAGGCGGATTAGAAGATAAAGCGTTTGAAAAAGCTTCATTAGGTGTTCTGAATGCATACGGGTGGGGATAATACATGGGCACTGTTCTAAAATACTCGTGGTCCTTATTAGTCTTACTATACAGTATGATATAGGATCAGTAAAAACATGAGGAAAGAGCGTTAGAAGTAATTTATACTGAAAATAGAGGTGATGAAACTTGCATCTTATGATGCGAATATGGCGTTTAGGAGACAAACTGAAAATTTGTATTTCTGAAGTATTTTTAGTTGGTATTATGAAAAATCTTTCAGTTATATTTAATTAGTTTTATCTTGAAGATCCCAACAAGGAACGTTGTTTATTTTGTAATTACATTGACGTCCTGTTTTACAATAAATATAACACATAGTTCATGGTCTTGTGATAAAGATACGAATGAGACCACGTTGTTTAGGAGCGACGTGGTTGTGGGTAAACTGTGAGACATATCTCAGGTTTCTGTTTGTCTTTCTATGACAATAAATATTCATAAGTAAATGCCAACAGTTGGAAGGTCTGTCCTGTTCATAATGAAACATAATATATAGTGTAATACTTAATGTGCAAATATGTGCTGATGTGCAAATAGGTTTTGGTGGGAAGAATATATTTAATCAAATTGAAGGAAAAACATTTACACTACACTGATATGGTCACGTACGTCAATCATCTGAAGAGCACTTGATCCTTACACGGTATGTTGTTTTACGCCGCAACATTACATATATTAAAGAATTTTCCTGGCGTATAACGGTTGTCTGGACATATCCGTGTCTCGACCATCCAGCCCAGTGACTGACATGATGAATATCGACCCACTCCTGTTTGATACGAGGATACACCATCAACCGTGTCACCAGGCTTTCACGTTCAGTTCCCTCTTATGATAAGCATAGCCTGCTGGGAACATACGTGCTTTCCCGAAATCTTTACATGTGGAATCAAAGTTAGAAATGATACCCGATTTATTCCCTTATCTTCCACGTTTCAAGTAAACTGCCCTTTTCTTGTATCTTTTAAAATCCACCAAAGGCGAATAAAGTACTTGCAAGGAGGGCGACATTTTAAATACCAGCCAATATGGTTCTACTGGTCATTACCATACACAGGGTTTTGTGAAGCATCTATCATTGACGATATCGAACCATGCCGGTCTTGGTTTCCAATATGTTCAGGGAATAAGACATAGCACTACAACACATGTGCGTTACATTGATAAGATCCCCGAATTTCCGTTTCCTCAATCCCCCTCATCATTTTGCTTTCAGTCCTTGTATCAACTGTTGGACACAGAGCCCTGAAGTAAGCAGATTAAGATATGCTTGCTCGCTTAAGTAGAGCCTGACCAGGGTATCTTTGTTTACATGACGCTATGCTTCGGCTAGTGTGCTTCCACATGCATTTGGAGGACGGTGAAGTGTTTGCAACAATACTAAGTAAACACAAAAAAACATACATAAAAAAATATTACACGTTACAAATATACCAGAGAATGTTCCGCAGACCCTCAAGTAGAAAAAAGCTTTACATATGTGAAGCGGAACGAATATTTTAAATCAAATGTTAATACATTTTCTTTTGAAGCTCTGAGCGATATTCAATATTTCATATTTGACCACGAACAGGTCAACCTGAACGCATTGTATTTATATATACTCAACAAAACGTTAAGGACCACCCCAATATTCAACATTGAAGTATTATATGGATTATAACATGAACTGTGAAATACTTTAATATTGAAAACTGGGGTGGTCCTGAACGTTTTTGTTGAGTATATATTCCCAATGGCTTACTAATACACATCAATAGAACAGTTCTTTAAACATGTAGAATAATGATATTATATTACAATAACGATAGACATGGTCTATTTTCAATCGATTTGTCATATATAATTACGACATGTTATGTTTTATCAAGCTTGCAGGAATTGCTTTATGGTATAGACACACAGCTGACATTTGTTATGATTAAGTTCTTTTATAGAATCATACGTCAAGCAAGAAATGCGTTTCAAAATATTTTACATAATCTTACTTTAACATTACATTGCCTTTCTGGATTTGCAAACTGGTCCCGTAGATTCGTCTATTCAGATCATATTTGGGGATCAAATAAACCATTGTGTACCCTGTTTTCGATAGTGACACTCATGTTAACAGTAAAATCATAATTATTATTAGTCTGTGACACTGCAGACGAAGACAATTTCTTAAAACACTATGATCAAGTGGTAGAAAAAGGACACTACCGAATGAGAAATCCATATTTTGTATGAAACCGCGTGGTAATGTTTCCAAAGTTCCAGAAGGGAAACTTAGTTGTAAATATTTGTTTGCCAATATTACATGAACGTATGGCTGCAGAAACAGTAACCCCATTATATTTCATTTAGTTTTTACATGAATGAAACTCCATATTGTTTAATGTGAAAGGTATTGTCACAAAAAGCGTTTACTTTGTGGATTCACCAAAATAAATAAAAAAAGTTAATTTAATAAACCAAATAAATATAACATTATTATGATATTCAGTCAGCCTGTAATGTTTACGGAATGAACTGAGAGAAATAGGGTGCGCTCTGCTCTGAACGCCATTTCATGTACATAATATATATACATCTCATGCTGAATATGTAAGCCAATCGATATCCGTTACACATGCTGATCCCAAACAGCACTTGTTTTACGAGTAGTACACGTTAATATATGAAGCAAGGACTCTAACAGAATTAGACTTGCTTTACATGAGACTGTACTTTGAGGACAACGTAAGAAAGGATAGCTTTGGTATTGGTTCGAAGAGCAAACGAAATTAGCATTCTTCCATTCGTTTGATGTATGCGATTTGTCATGTATATTGAGAAGGGCCTAGCAAAAGCACAATCTCATTTTCAACAACGTATGTGAAATTAGGCGAAAGTCTAATCTGGCCACTTCTTCTACAGTTGCAATTAAGACTCTGGGGGTAGCTTGGCAGTCCTCTTGTTAACGAATAAATAGAGTTGAACCAGGGACGGTGCTATCGATCACAGTGCCTATCAATATAATTCAGCCAGGAACCCTCGACTTAATTTTATTATTACTTGTAAGTTAATGAAATGTAATGTAGACCGAAATGTACGACTTCCCGATGTCTGTTCCTGTTTAAGGAGACTATTTATATTTGTTTTGCTTGTATTCACACGTACTAAATCAAGTTTAATACGACAGACGTATCCAGCTTCCTCTAAAGTGAATATTTTGGTTCTCGTGAATTATACAATTATGATAACTGGCCGTCGGGTAGCATTGTGGAGATACTAAATAAATGAGCCCCACGTCTCAATACCGCAATAAAACGTATAAACTGCTTACTTTATGAGTGTATTTTTGAAAATATGACAAAATGAATATTGAGTTCATTCGTTTGAAAAGAAGTTGATAATTTGTTTATTATCAGTGGTTTATGGATACGCGAATTTGGGTCAACATGAAAAAGCCAATCCATATTGTGATATCATCCGTGTAAAATAGAAATCCTTTAGGATGCATACACGGGGGAAAAGGTCATGTTTGTTCGATATCAAGCTATCGGTTCACACAGGGATCATGCTGTAGCCTTCGAAATCTGAATTATAAACATGGTTG